ACGGGAGTCGTTTATTTCCTTGGTGGAAATCCGGTCACTTGGCTGTCACAGAAGCAGAGAGTGGTGGCACTCTCCTCATGCGAAGCTGAATATGTGGCCGCTACAGCTGCAGCATGTCAGGGTATTTGGCTTGGGCGATTGTTGAGTGAAATAAAAGGAGGTGAACCTGTCAAAACAGTCCTCAATATGGACAACAAATCAGCCATTGCTCTCACGAAGAACCCTGTGCATCATGACAGAAGCAAGCACATTGATATCAAGTATCATTTTATTCGTGATTGTGTTCAAAAGGAAGAAATTGAAGTGGAGTATGTGAAGACTGAGGATCAACTGGCCGATATTCTGACAAAGCCACTTGGTCGTCAGAGGTTTGTCGAGCTACGTGAGAAAATAGGACTGAAGGATGTGAAGAAGATGCAACAAGATTAAGGGGGTGAATGTTGAAATTAATCTTGTTAAGATAGTTTTATCTATTGTATAGGTTAGTTATTGTCAGTCAGTTAGTTGTTCAGTTTTCTTTTCTGTGTGCACGTTTGCACGTCTCTTGTATTCAGTTTTTTTTTTATATATAGCAGTAAAGTAGTGTGTTGTTTTTTTTATATATAGCAGTAAAGTAGTGTGTTGGTGTGTGGTTGCAGTTAGCAATAATTGTGTTTCTTCTTCCTCTGTTTTCTTGAGTGTGTGTGCGTACTCAGGGGAAGTGACTTTCAAAACCAACAGAACAGTGGTAAATTTGAATTCTTTGATTATTTCTACGAGGATTATCTTCAATCTGAAGATCCCTTCCCTTTTCTAGTAGATCGATCAAGCTTTAGAAAGTAAATAGTTAACTTCTAAATAATGCAGGTAATTAACATCAACACACATTAGTAAATTTGTCAACAGAAAGAAACGATCAACAATAATATCATCCATGAGAAAACAAGCCAGAGAACAAACGGCTACAACTGGCATCAAACTTTCTTAAACCAAACAAACTCAACATCTGATGACCCAACTCTTTTTCTAATCAATCCCAAGTCTCAAGTTCGATTCCCCAGTTTCGGTCCATCAATGCACCCTACACAACAAACAGAAAATTCCCAGTTAATAGCAAACAAGCAATTAATTAAGCACCTCAAACAAGTCACAGTAACAAATCATAAATACGTATATACTTAGCACAGTCAGCGGAAGGGCTAATCTCGTAAGGCACAGAGACTCCAC